AATGTAAAATAAACTGCACATATTTAAAGAGTACAATTTTATAAGTTTTGATGTATGTATACACCCATGAAACCATCGCCATAATTAACTTTTTTTCATGTACCCCTCTATAAATCTAATCCATCCCTCCCTCTACCTTTATTCCCAGGCAACTACTGATTTGCTTTCTGTCACTATAGATTACTTTGTATTTTCTAGAATTTTATATGAATAGATCATACATTACGTATTCTTTTTGTCTGGCTTATTTAACTCAGCAAATGCTTTTGAGATCCAACCATTTTGTTGTATGCATTTAAAGTTCTTTCTTTTTTATTGTATCAAAGTTTTTTCTTTTTCAATTTTATATATAGTGGCATATTCCTATCAATGCTTTTTTTGGATCACCATACTATATAACTATCATGTTTGCTTGGCACACAAAATTGTGAGAAGCTAACAAAAGCTCCTGCATGTTGGTGCCAATGGTTTTTGAACAAAATCAGTCTGGTGATCCCGTTTTAGCAGCTATGTCTAAAGCAAATAAGTCACTTATCTGTCTCAGATACCTTCTCTGGAAAATGGGGATATACCATCCTTGAATATACCTATGTAATTCACCTACATAAATTAGATTGCTTAAGGACTCCCTGTCTTCTAAGACCTATTGGGTCTACAGAGATAGGTAAATCTTCAAGGAACACAGCTATGCCTATTTGTTTACATATCATCTATAACTGCTAAAACAAAACTGAGTACAGTCATCCCTTGATGTCCATGAGGGGTTGATTCCAGGACCTCTGTGAATACCAAAATCTGTGGGTGCTCAAGTCCCCGATGTAAAATGGCACAGTATTTGCATATAACTTAACACAATCCTCTTGTATACTTTAAATCATCTCTAATTATAATACCTAATATGATGTAAATGCTATGTAAATAGTTATTATACTGCAAGGTTTAGGGAAGAATGACAAGAAAAAAAGTCTGTACATGTTCAGTACTGACACATTTTTTTTTTCCACAAATATTTTTGATCTGCAGTTGGTTGAATCCATGGATGCAGAACCTATGCATACAGAGGGCTGACTGTACTTGTGACAGACATTAGGCTATCAAAATCAAATATCTGCCCTTTGAAAAAAAGTTTACCAACCTCTGTTCTAAGTAATTATGAATGTTCCTAAAACTAGCCAAAATATCATTTGTACTCATTGTATTTGTTTAGATGTACTGATTGACAAAAATAATTCTACTGTTAAAAAAAAAATCTTTTTATGCCACACTGGTTAAAAAGATCTAAGAAAAACCATAGGAAATTAAAAACTCCCTGTGGGGGAGAATCAGATCGCAGAATAGACGGTCCCCAGTGACACTCTTTCCCACAATCGACCAACTTACAACTATTAAAAAAGCAACTACTGCCAAGCTGGGGCCACTAGAGCTCAAGGGAAGAGGAGGAGAGACCTACGGAGTTCATGAAGTTAGAAGAAGCTGCGATGAGAGAAAGAAGGGACTACTCCAACTGTTTCAAGTCCCAGCCATTTCAAGTCTAGCTCTGGTGAGCACACAGAAGAAGAGCTGGCAAAAACCACAGCTGTGCCCTTTGTGTGAAGTTGCTTGGAGAATACAGGGGAGAGGGGGGTCTTGGTGGACCCCAGGCCAGCAAGACTACTGACAGGGTTCCCCCATGTGAGTGAAGGGCCCCAGACACCTGAAAAAAGGAGCCACTCAAAGGCCAGTGAGTCATAGGGATTGGTGCATGGCCCACCCCATGGGAAGGGTTTGGAGTGCAGGGGGTGGGGCAGACAGGCCCACTGGGGGAACACTGGGGCACAGCATGGACAGGTAATCTGCCCACCAATCAGCACAGGACCACTCAGAGGAGACTGGTCAGGAATATAGAAGTGCAAGGGGTGCAGTTTGCTGAAAAGACTTAGATCCAGACCATAGTTTCCACACAATCCAGGTGTATCAGACCTCACAAGACCCAGAAGCACTTAAAAGGTCAACAATTAAAACCTGAGATGCACAAAAAGCCTTCCCCAAGGAATCAGCAGCAAAGCAACAATTAGCTCAACCACAGGACTCAAGTGCTGGTCCCCACAGGAAGTTCCCCCATTTCTGAAGTAAGCAAAGGACAACAAATTAGTTCTAGTGCAGAGTTTAAGTGGTGGGGGTAGCTAATAATCCAACACAGAAGTGAAAGAAAGCACAAAACACCCACAGATCAGAGACAAAGTTCTGATGTTAACCAGTTTAGGTCTAACATCACCAAAGAATACCTATAAAACCTAAAAGAACTAGAAGCCCCCTGGCTCCCAAGCCAGGGTGAGGGGATCCCAAGGGCCTTAGCCATGCCCCCCGGATATCCACATCTAACCCAGTGACAACTGAGCTGCCACCAGAAGCCCCTGGGCTCTCGAGCCAGGATGGGGGAAGTACAAGGGCTTCAGCCATGCCCCCCTAACATCCGCATCCAGTCCAGTGACAACCAAGCCACTGCAGAAGCCCCCCAGGCTCACAAGCCGGGGGTGGGGGGGCCAAGCTCCTTAGCCACACCGCTCCCACAACATCCACATCCAGCCAGTGATGGCTGAGCTACCGCAGAAATCCCTAGGCCCCTGATTTGGGGTGGGAGAGGTTAAAGACTCCGCATCCAGCCCAGCAATGACCAAGTTGCTACCAGAAGCCCCCAGGGATTCCAAACAGAGGAGAGGGTGGAGCGGGGAGCCAAGGGCCTCAGCTACACCCTCCTGATGACCACATCTACCCCAGCAACAACCAAGCCTCCACAGAAGCCCCACAGTCTCCTGAGCAGGGTGGGGGTGGCCAAAGGTCTCAACCATCCCCCCCAAGTCGACATCCCACCCAGTGACAACTGTGCTGCTGCCAGAAACCTCCAGGCTCCCCAGCCAGGGTAGGAGAGGGCTGAGGGCCTCAGCCATGCCATGCTGATGTCCAAATCTGGGCTGGCAACAACCAACCCACTGCCAGAAGCTCCCCATGCCTCCCAGCCAGGATGGGGTGGGGGCTGAGGGTCTCAGCCACACCCCCCAATGTCTGCATCTAGCCAGCAATGACCGGCCCACCATTGGAAGCCCCCTGGGCTCCCAAGCCAGGGTGCAGGGATGTCAAGGGCCTCAGCCACGCCCCCGACATTCACATCCAGCCCAGTGACAACTGAGCCACTGCTAGAAACCCCCCAGGCTTCTGAGCTGGAGTAGGGGGAGCCCACAGACTTTAGCCATGCCTCCCCCACCCTCTGCAACCAGGCCAGTGAAGGAGCTGGTTGTGGGCCCTCACATCCGTTTCTCTACCCTCTTCCCACCTGCCCCTTCCACTGCTCTGCAACGACATCTTTGCATGTAAAAAAATAATAATAAATAAATAGAAAAGAATACACCAGACACAAAAAGGAAATAAAATAAAAATTAAAGTCTATTTTAAAAATTAAAAAATAAATAAATAAAAACTCCCTGTAGCAATAAAGGCATATTATAAACCAATTCAAAAAATATTAGGAAAATGTCAGGCTAAAGAAATACTATAATAGCTTTCTAGGAGTCTTGAAATTCTTAGAAATAAATGAATGAATATGAGTTTTCATATTCCAGCCTAAATGTCGAATACTTAAAGACAAAATGCAATAATCACTATTGCCAGAATAAAAAATGAACAGCATATAGAAATGGTTGGTGAAACTTAGATATCTAAGTGTACTTACTGTACCTTTCTAATCTGTCAGTTTTTATTTAGAAACTATATGCACACAACACATACATACATACATACATTCAAGGTGTCTTCAAAAAATTCATGGAAGGATTCATATTATCTTTTAATTCAATTTTTCCACAAACATTTTAGCCAATTTTTTGGGGGGAAGCTGGCACAGATCATCCACAAACTTTTTGAAGTTATATATGCCATATAACATAATGATTAAGAGAATGGTCTTTAGGATCAGACAAACCAGTCAGTAAGTGCAATTAGTACTGTTTTATGATAACTGAATAAAAGGTATTCCAAATTTACTTTTGAAAAGAATTTTTAAGTGAATTATCTTTTAAATTAAAATTAAAGTCAGTATGGAACTGCAAACACTGAAAAATCAAAGGAAACTAAAGAAGGAAATATGTGAGGAAACCTGGCAGCTAAAAAATACTCTCATCATTAAGTGGAAAAGAAATAAATTTCTATTATAGGACTTATTTGATTATTTATCTGACAACAAATCTTATTAGTTAATTCAGTGATCTGGGTTTTATCTTCCTAATTACCAGGTTCCTTTCCAAAAGACATAAAAAGTCATTAAAAGTTTGATGCAGGGCCGACACTGAGGGTTGTGATCCCATTACCGGTCAGTAAAAAAGACAAAAAGGAAAAAAAAAAAAAGTTTGATCTAGTAGTCATCTGGAGCATAAATAATAACTTCAAGAAAAATCATGCATACACTAAAATTATCTGCTATAATGACCGTGAAAACTTCAAGGAAAAGCAGCACTGTTTTATAAATATTCAAGATCAAATTGAGAATTATTTTTGAGCTCAATGAAAGAGATATAACACTTAGGGTGTTTAGGAATAATACCTAATGTAATTATGATACATTGCCTCCTATATCTGACCAACTATAAAGATGACAGGGTGAGATGGTTTTGTTCTGTGTTGTTAAATCTCAATTCCTGGTCTTTAATATCTCTATTATTGCTTTGGAGATTCTGACCAAATACCAAAAATTCTGAGATTTAACTAAAATGCAGCAGTCGCCCATGCTGTTCTTCTGAGACAGCTGCCAGGACCCTGAGGCTGGTTTCCAGATGCTGCCCACCATTTGGAGTATACAGATTTTCAGGTGATTCTACCTCTGAAAAGGGATTCTAGAAAACAGGGTCTTTTCCTATTATTCTTATTATCTCTGCAAAGAAGACTGTTATATAAAATCAACCCAAATGTATGGGCTAATGTGCAATGGAAAATACAGTTTACAAAAGGGAATTGATTGAAGTTGAACTCACCTGTCCACTTTTCCCTAATTCCAGCTCTATTATGGCCACAGGCGTGTGTATTTGGGGTGAGTGCCTTGACTGAGATTTGCCATCAACTCTCCAGCTCAGACCTCGAAGCCCACTGTCCCAGCGACTCTGGTTCATGAGGCTCTCTCGGATTTTTGTCTTGTGGCTCTTCCAGAATTTGGAGATGACAGCAGCTTGGTCAGATGTGATCCCACCTTGCTTTTTGGTTTGAGCAGTCAAGAATGCCTCCAGCTGGTTGAAATCCATGTCTGCCGATGCAATAGACTATAAAGATGACAGAAAAAATAAGGAATTTGAATTTGGTAGGTAACTAGAAAAAGATAGCTTTTTAACTACAGATGATATTTTGAGTGATTCTTAATCACTGAATGAGCTTTCAAAAAGGGTCATCAAGTGACAGTAATGAGAATAAGTTCTTTGTAAGTACAAAAATACTCCCTTTCCAAATATTAAATATCAAGAAAGCTGTTAAAAATTCCATGGCACTCAAATTCTATATCAATAATTAGAATCTAATTTTTAAATATCCAATTTCATGGTGGAGGAAAAAAAATTTTAATAACAAAGCACAAGAATAAAGTTAATTGCTTCTCTGATGAAATCTTACATAATTTCAAAGTGCCTTATAGCCAGGCTTAGTTTGATATACTACAATTATACAATGCCTTGTCCATAAAAAGTACCAAGTAAATTTTGTTAAATGAATGCATTATTTTAGCTTTGCAGCCCATCTTCAGCCAAATACCTCATTTACAATGATACTGCTCTGAAATTATATGCTACTTTATATTTTTCCATAAAATTTCAAAGCTTAATTACCATTAACACTGGGTTTTCCATTCGAGCATCCAAGAAAACACAGTAACTAAATATAATCTCGAGTACAATCAAATGCCTTAAATTTGCACAGTACTCTTTAACCTTTCAAAGCATTTTCACATCTATTACTTCATTTGAGCCTCATAATCCATTTTCACAGGCTATTAAGTAGACAGAAGTATTATTAGTTCTCTTTATTCTCAATTTATAGAAAAAGAAACTGAAGCATAGAGAAGCCAGCTAATTTTCCTGAAAAGTCAGTGAGATAAGTGCAGAGCCAAAGCCTCCCACCTGTTAAGCCATGTTTCCCTCTACTTAGTTGTCATAAGTAACTACACAGAGAGGTAGAGTGTATCACTACCAATGAAAAAAATCTAAACTGGTACATTCTGCCAACAATGATACAGAGATGCCAGTACCTGAGAAGCAACTACAATGCTTCAGTTGTTGGCCTTCAGATACTCTAAGACAAACAATAATATGAAGAGTATTACCACAAACTTTTTACTTAACGGTTTGACTGATTCCGTGAGGAATATAAAAGTATTACCAGAACTTAGAGGGCCAACCAATTCACTTTAACAATGAACAGGAAAACAGAGATAAAGATTGAGAAGGCAGTTTGGAGTCAGATTATAGAGCATACCAAAAGCCAGAAGTTTACATATTGTTATACATAGGCAATAAGGAGCTAGGTAACTGGGTAATCATAATGCAAGCTGTATTTTAGAAAGCCGAATCTGTGAAAAGTAAGTCGCTAGACTGAAGTGGGAAATCATCAGAGCGCTGAGGCAATGGAACCGTGGAGAGGAGAGCGACAGTTAATTATTCAGTCCCAGGGACAAGCTTTTCTTTGCCTCTTCTTTCCCTAACCTCTCCTGTCCATGGGAGCTGGCATGAGCTCCAAACCGGACACATCATAGTACCCTCCTTTCTCTGGGCACACTGACTGGCCCAGGTGAATTTCCCAGAAGGATGTGAGGCCACGGTTTCAGACAGCCATCTTCTTTGACCTTATGGCAAAAGCGTGATTGCAATAAAAAAGAATAAAGCCAAGCAGAGATGAGAGTGGGTTCTATTAGGATGATATCTCTGTTCTATAGTCCCCAAGGCCCTGGTTCCTATAGGCCTTCCTTCAATTCTATATGCTGTCTCAGCATCCTTCCCAACTATAGTCACCAATAAATTCCACCTACTACTGTTCAAGATAACTTAAGCTATTTTTCTGTCATTTGGAACCAAGAGTCCTCACTAAAATAGGGCAGTAGAAGTGGGAACAGAGAATTGTAAACGTAGACAATGTACAGGTTGAGTATAGGTTGAAGTGGGACTGAGGCTGGAAGACAAACATGCTGCCTTTCATTTCTCCATTAATATTAAAAAGTGATATGGCAAATATTACAACTTTCTGGTAAAGATATTTCATGTTACAGTTCAATAAACATTTATTAAATATCTGCCTACTTACCAGATATTCAGACCCAAGACCTCTGGCTATGCCACTCAACAGAAATACTAATTTGTATAATATATTATAACAAAGTCAAATTATTTCCACTTCACCTTGCTACACAATATCACAGCATGACCCATGTGATTTGTATTATTCTTTTCCTCAAATATATCAAGAGGTAGCCATTCAATATAACTTCACCTGTGACAGAAATGATTTTGGTTGGGTTCCAGTCAATAATATCTTGAACTGTGGTCAAGTCATCAAATTTAGAACAATCATAAATTAAATGAGGAATTGATTTTGGTTTGAGTTCAAAGTCATCAATTTTCATTTAACTCAAGAAATATTTGAACAGCTACCATGGAACAGACACTGTTCAAAGCACACCACCTCCATCTACTGGTAGCCTAAGTGGGCAGCCTGGTTGGTACTCATTCTTGATTTTTCCTTCTCCTCCACAACTTGATTGGTTGCTTTCAACACTAGCTGCATATTAGAATCATGAGGTACATTTTAAAAATATCAGTTTCCAGATGTCATCCCAGAAATTCTGATTTCTAGAAATTCTGGAATGTGGCCTAGGCACTGGTATTGTTTAAAAGTTTTCCAAGTGGGCCGGCCTGGTGGCGCACTGGATAGTGCGCCGCTTGGGAAGCGCGGCGGCGCTCCCGCCCGAGGGTTCGGATCCCACATGCAGACCGGTTCCCGCTCACTGGCTGAGCGAGGCGCGGGAGCAACACTGGGGGTTGCGATCCCGTTGCCGGTCCCCGGTCCGGTACGGGGGCAACACTGAGGGTTGCGATCCGTTGCCGGACACGGAAAAAGACAAAAAAAAAAAAAAAAAAGTTTTCCAAGGGATTCTAATAGGCAACAAAGGTTAAAAACTAATGCCTATAACCTTTCAATCATCAAGTTCTACTGATTTTAATATCTGAAATAAGTCTCTAATAATATGTACCCTCTGCTCTGTCCCTACTTGGTAGAGGCCTTCACTATCTTGTACCTAAACTAAGTGTGCACCCCCTGAGTCTATCTTCTGTAACACTAAAGTGATCTGTCTAAACTGTGAATAAAATCCTACCACTTCTTCCTTGTTTAAAACTATCCTGTGGCTGGCTATTACCTGCTGCAGTGACTAACAGTCAGGATGCTGTAAAGCATTTTATTATGAGGTATGAGACAAGTTACAAGTAATATGTTAGTAGTAGTAGTACAAATATTGAAGTTTGTAAAGATTTATATTTGTAAGTATAAATTGGAAGGTTTTTAAGTTATTCTTATATCAACAATTTCCTGCCCCATTTTAATTATTTCCTTGAATGGAAGAAAAAAAATTACAAACAACAGGAACTCTGCATGGAAATATATCATGCACATATTACTATCTGTTAAGCATGTCACAGGGAATAAAAAATTGAAAGCTAATAAACTAGGGTAATGGTTCTCAACAAAGCAGTACTGTCTCCCTTAAAGGCACCTGAGAAATGGTAGAGGTTATGTTTGGTTTCACAGTGATTGCAGTGCTATTGGCATCTAGTGAGCAGGAGCCAGGGATGCTAGGCATCCTGAAGTGTTCAAGAAAACAGGTTGGCATACTTTCTGGAAAAGTGTTACCATCTCTGTTGTATATTCTTCCTTTTTTTTTTTTTACAACTCTTTAAAAATGTAAAAGCCATTCTTAGCTCATGGGCTATATACAAAAACAGGCAGTGTGCCATACAGGTTATTGTTTGCCAAGCCCTGCTCAAGAATATCCCACAAAACAAATTGACCTGTATCTCACATGACTTTGCAATGTCCCCCCTGACATGATGTGGACAAACCTGTTTATAATTACTTGAGCCTAGAAATTAACTTTTTTTTTTTTGAACATACAAAAGTATTTTTTTTGCAGTTTTAATAAACACCAAATTTTCAGGAACACTCTAACATAACTTATACTTTGGTTTGGTCAGAACTTTACAAACCGGATGTTGAACACTGGAAAATCTCATTACTAATGGCAATACCATTTAAACTGTCTGAGCTACCAGTAAATACAGCACATCTGTATATATCTGCATTTCTGTTGTGCAGTCATAGTGATTCTACCTATAGATGCAAGCATCTGATTAACCCATATGTTTTAATGCAGTAGTGCCTCAACATTTACATTTAAAATTTTTTTTATTTTAACATTTACTTGTACATATTTGTGGGGTATAGTGTGCTGTTTCAATACATGCATATACTGCACAATGATTCACTTAGGGTAGACAGCATAGTTTTGTACCCGTTAGTCCATCACTTCTCCCACCTCCCTCTCCTCCTAATGTTTACATTTTAAAATACATATTTCAAATTACTTTATTTTCATTTCCTTGTATTTTCCCTTTATATTACATTTATGTCATCGTATTGATTTGTTAGAAATTATGCACGTTAAGTTTATTATGTATAAATTATAATCATATAAGAATTCCATTTAATAATAATAAAGGGGCATTAGAAAATATCTACTATAGGGGCCGGCCTGTGGCTTACTCGGGAGAGTGCGGTGCTGATAACACCAAGGCCACAGGTTCGGATCCCATATAGGGATGGCCAGTTTGCTCACTGGGTGAGCGTGGTGCTGACAACACCAAGGCAAGGGTTAAGATCCCCTTACCGGTCATCTTTTTTAAAAAAAAAAAAAAAAAGAAAAAGAAAATATCTACTATAAAAAGGAGACATCGAGCCAGATAAGTTCGAGAACCACTGAAGATCAAGTCCAAGCTCAACAGAGTAAGCACTGGCTTACAAGGCAAATCACAATCAGGTACCTCCTCTGCCTCTCTAGCTTCATTTCTTTTCATCTCCCTCTGCCTCTCATAATCTTCCACTAATTTGTTTTTCCTTCCATCAATATGGAATTCCTTTTAGCTCCTAAATCTGTCATTCTATCACTATCCTCTGGTCCTTTGCCCATGCTATTCCCTTTACCTAGAAAATCTTAGCTGCCGTTCCTTCA